AAGCTGTTTAATATGAAGACGTATATAATAGAGTTTTATAATATATTTTCAGTGGGAAATATGCACTAACATATAACAAGCATTAAAATAATTGAGTCACAGGATCAGTAAGAAACCACGGTTATTACCAAAATAATAAGGACAATATACGATATAATAAAGACTATAAAAATGAATAGGGAACAATATTTAAAATAAATAATGACTATATACAACTTCTCACACTCCCACACCATCGCCACTATATAAAAATTAAACATGTTGCAACAATTAAAGGTACAAAAAAGGGGAGTCTGAGCAAACCAGTGCTCCAAAAAAAGCATGTGATTCGAGTATATACAAGTATTAATATATAGTATGAATCATAACCAACATACTAATTAAGCCTTGCATGTATATTAAAGAGAACGCATATCAAAGTATAAGAAATGGCTACCTCCATGAAGTATAAAGATCAAAAAGATATTTCTGTTTGATTTAAAACGTAAACTATGGAAAACATGCCTTCTTTAAAGATACCGTTTTCCAAAATGTGTTAGATATTTTAGTTGAATGCGTAGAACACTAAATACTTTCATTTTATTGAAAAAATATTCTTTCTGATTATTTTAATTAAAAAAATAATCATGCACGAAGCGAACTCGGATTTTAAAATTTAGTTATGGTTGATATTCAAAATCATATGTTTATAACACATTTAAAAGTAACACATAAAAAAGTTACATCGACTTCTTATTCCAAACAAATGGTCATTTAAGTAAAAAAATTGTACTTGAAACGTTTTCAAAAAAAAAAAGTCAATGTAAAATAGGTGTATTTTTTATCCTTCAAAATTATATAAGGGAAATTTGATTAAATTTTTATTTCGTTAAATTTTATCTTTAATTAAAAATTTACAAGAAAAATAATTGCTTCAGAGTTGCTAGGCAAAGAATTCCGACGAACAAAGAATCTCCACAAAATAGAATCTCACTCAGAAATACTAATTTTAATTTCGCTACAGATTTCTGGCAGTGCATAAATTAAAATATTCTGAAAATTAAGAAACATGGAAGAAAAAACATTAAAAATTGCCTTAGGAAGTTGGTCCACTATAAGTTCAATCAGTAACTGCGAAATTTTCGAATAAAATGTATATGAAAAATTAAATAAAATACTTTTAAGTGGTTAATAAAAAAATGCTTAAATCTGTTTTTTTTTTTTTTTTTTTTTTTTTAAACCAATGGCGGGCCCTTTTACCAATGGTGGCCGACTTCGTCTCGGCCACTTATAAGAAGTGATGGTCACTCAATTATGGAGGCACCAAATAGGTGGGTTACCTTTGCCTCCTATGAAGGGACGGACAGTTACAACCAAGGAAAAATAAAATGGCTGTAGAAGAGTTCAAAAGGTTCACTGCAAGTATACATTATTTCTAAAAAACAAAAAACAAAAACAAAAAAAAAAAAAAAAAGCTGCATGAAGATTTTCGTGATTTTCCTAAAGTATAATGTGCATATGAACCAGTTCCTGAGAATGTACTCCACAAAGGAATCCCACCCCTTAAGCAGATAGCCGTAGTGTGCTTTGGCATAATCTAATAAATCCAAATCCTACTGAAATATTATATAGCTGACTTTCTTCATAACTAACAACTCGTCATTCAAGTAACTGACTGCACGCTGTGCATGGAAATTTTAATGACATTTTAAGAATAAACTGAAACAAAACAAGAAATAATTTTCGCTATAAGAGTATTAGACTAACAAAAGTGAAGAAAATAATCTCAAAATTAACTTAGCAATTTTTTTTATAAATAAGGTCATGCAGTTACTTACCTTCCTTTTTCTAATCTTTTTTAGATAATACTTTTCATAAAAAATTACCAGTAAAAACTTTATAAAAAGGATTTATTAATGACCATTGTTAGTTAACTATGTCGGTTTAAAAATTCTATTAAGTGCTATAAGTTGCATTAATTTTCTATGCTTAAGTCTCCTTCTTACTTTTTCAGCTAAAATTTATTAGTTAATAAAAAATATGAAAGTAAAAATTATCCTTCTTTCCATCTTGCGCTCACAAATCATTACGGGAATATCCATTTACAGTTATTAAAGCCTGAAAAAAGCATGTCTGCGATGTTATCGTCATGCGATGATTTGTAGATACTTTATTTTTTACCACGATATTTTCGACGGCGATGTTTTTAAACTGCAAAGTTTTTGAACCGCTTTATTTTTGACGACGATATTTTGTATTACGATGTTTTAGAACTGCAATGTTTTCTCTTTGCGATGTTTTCTCCCACGATGTTTTGTAGCACGACGTTTTCGCCTTGCGTTGTTTTCTCCGCAACGTTTTTGTCCGCGGTGTTTTCGGCTGTAACCATCTCCACCATGCTCCGTGTTCGAAGCAAAGACCATGTAAAAACGTGTAATACTTAATTCTTGGATTATCCAGATACATAAGGAGCATATATTGAAATACCACATGGTATACATGATCACTTAGCCGAAGAACTCAAATGGGTTCTCTAGTATTATTCAAGTTCTTTTGTTGTCAGACAAAACTCTATTCAAGACTGATATGATCACGGAAATTTTGAAATATTTGCTGTTCATGGAAATAAGTAGTGAATAGCCTGGGAGATGTAGAGGTAATTCATGTTTTAATAAATGGGAATTTTTTTATCCTTATTGGTTTGTTTTGCTTCAATATTTAAAACGTTTTCCAAATTCGATCAGGTCTTTTGCAAAGTTAAGGATATTTTTACAGGTTATTGCACCTTTTCTTTGCAACCATACATATCTGAGGGAAATAAATGCATTTTCACTGGATACTGGATAGAGAAATTACCTCCTAAGTAATGAAATTATCCTAATTTTCATCTTTTTGAGAAGAGTGAAACTTCACATCTTTATTGACAAAATCTCTTCATTCTGCATCGTAAGTTTTGTAAGTTAAAAAAAGAAAAATTCAACCACCTGATCAGCTGTAAATATAAAACATTCTATAATGAATATAAGATGATCATTATTTGGAAAATAAAATGGATGTAGCCAAATCACTATCTGCCAGGAATAGTTTATCCAAATCTACAGTTGGTTGAATGTAGAAAAATTGAGATACGGTAATTTCTACTCATGGAAAAAATTTGAAGCATAAGGATCTTGAAGAAGTACTGGTGAAATGGTTTACCATTCAAACAAGGTGGTTGAATAGGTTTAAGCAGAGCAACGTCTCTTTAGAGAAATAAAGAGTATTTTAAAACTAGATATGGAGAAATTTGGGGAAAAAATGTTTACGATGATAATTGTCACCAGAACAGAGAAAAAGCAATTTTTAGTGCTAATGATGTCAAACAAAATGTTAAAATTTAAAGACCAAAGATGCACTGCCAGTAAATTATCTAAAGTAGAATCACAATTGTGCAAGCCAATATGAATGGCATTCAGCATTGCAAGCTTTTCGCAACTGGAAAATCTCAAGTGGAGATATTTAAAAAAAATGTGAAAATTCTTGTCTCCTATTAGTTAAATGTAGGGCATGGATGATGTTGGAACTCTTTAAAAAAGAATTATGAATGTGGGATGATGAACATTCAACCCAACAGCAAAAGATTCTATTCTTGATTGAAAACTATACTGACATTTAAATGTCAATAACTTAGAATGGATTAAGACTGTTTTCTTGCCCCCGAATGTAACTTTAATGCAGCAACCTATGAACCAAAGTATGATCAGGAACTTGAAATGTAATTACAGGAAGCAGCCAATTTTAAGCATAAGGTAGATTACACAATTTCACTTCTTGATCATTACAAAAGTCTTGGTGACTTGTTATAGAATCAACTATCCAAAATTGTGTGGATATGTTGGTCTTGCAAATAGTGTTGAAGAGGAAGATAATGAAAACGAGGATTTGCCTACTACCAATGGATTAGAAAAAAGTGCATTTCAGTACTTTCAGAATATTATGTGGATAGTGGAGTAGCGAGCATAACTGGCGCCCCCCCCCCTAAAAAAAACACAGTGATATGATGAAAATCTTGTTGAGACCATTTGGCATCATATACCCCCTTGCCCCACTCGCTACGACACTGTAAGTGGAGCTTTACTAAACATGTAATGGTGATGATGTTACATATAAAAGTCCTGAATTATTTTAGCAGGCATCAAAATGAGAACTGCTGATGCTGCAGATTTTTGTTCTGTTGCTGATTAAAATATTGAAGAAACACAAAACATGGAAAGCAAACTTCTTATAGCAGAAAGCTAAGCTATGATGTGTGTAATTAATAACATTTTATTCACACAAACTGTAGAACCAGAAGTGAAGGCATTTTTTCAGTTTTGGGATGAATATACAGATTAAATTTTCCTGCAATCAGCCAAGAGAAAATTACAGATTATTTGTGCATTCTGTCATTGAAAAAAGTTAAATTCATCAACATTTCTTTTTCTTAATTTTTAGTGGAAATGTGCAAAATTATTGACATGTGGTGAAACAAGAAAAGTATGAATAATAAATTTAATAATCATATGTCATAATAATGGTAATTAAACCTTAATAGGATTTCCTTATAATTAGAATTATTGCTCACGTCTTTTGATAGACATGACGGAGTTAATCTCTTTGCTTTTGGGGGGCAGAAGCGGATGATCTATCAACAAATTTTTACACCTTTTTGTGAAAGAATTCATTTTTCTTATAGGATCTGATATAGGTCAAATATTTGGTCCTTTGCAATTTGTTAGAAGAGGTTTTGAGTGTATAACTTTATATTTTCTATGTAACAAACTACTTTTTCCTAATAAATATGTCATTACAATTAAAGATGCAAAAAATATACATGAAAATACAATAGTTTCCAATTTTTACAAATAATTAATAATTACTGTAAAATTATTCAGTAATACAAACAGCATCTTTACAACAATAACAGTATTCCTCCTCCTCTTATGAAACAATGTGTTTAAATTTTTTTAGTAACTTCATCTCAATGAAAAAAAATATGCAAGTTAAATTCCACATTAACCATTTTTATTCACATATTTACATAATTAGTTTTTCATATTTTGCATACCTATACACATGGCATTAGAAAACGCTTTCTTGGGGAGGATTTAGAGTTCATCCTTATCTTCTAAATATTTCTTGTACTCATAAACATCTATATCAGGATATTCTTCCTGTAATGCTTCCATGTCAATATCAGGAAATTCTTTGAATAACAATTTTATGTAGCCCCTCTTTTTTCTTCGCTCAGCTCGTTCTTTTAATCGTTCTTTTTCATTTAATTTCAATATAAATTCTGGTAACGTAGGATTCACTGTCTCCATAGTAGGAAACAAATCTTCTTCTAAAAATTTTTCATTTTCTTTCATTGGAACTAGATGCTCATCTAAAGGCACTCTAATGAAAATAAAGAGTAATTAAAATGTTCTTAGTAAAAATTACACCTAAATACAATTATAAAAATGTGCATAATTTTTTAATATGCATCAAAATGTCTTTTCTTATTGTATTCATTATTTGCACAACTAAGTTTTATATACAGATAGATAATTTTACACCTTTTTGTGATATTACAGTTTAAAAAAAAATTAAAACATAATATGCTACAACAAAATAAAAAAAAAAAAATAGTTAAGTGCACAATATTCAGTAAGTTGGTTGGAATTTTTTTTCTTATTTGTAATTGTAATAGATTTTTAAAATCCTGAGTCTCATATTTGTAGCCCTAAATATAGGTATTTAAGATTGCAAATAATGGCTTTTCTTCCTCTTTTTTACAATTATTTTTCATAATAGAAATTATTAAAATTATGACGAATTTTAGACCAAAAAGCACTTTTTTAATTGTGCAAACAACAAGATTATATTTTAGTAAGTGGTGAATCTCTCGTAGCAGTTATAAAAGCCAATATTCAGTAGAGCTATAATTAAACTATTTATACCTCTCTGCACAAGATTCTGAAACAAATTTTGCAATTGGTCAGTCAATTTTGCCTCCTTGGATACTGTTACGTTATTTTCTTCCTTCACGTTCGTAGATTTGGAGTAAATAACGACAAGACTTGATGAAATAACGAAACACACTTTATTTAGCCAATATTAATCAGGACAGCTCCGAAATCATGTTTTACAGTTGTCCAAGAAGTACTATAAAATTGCTGGAACAATCAGAGACACAGCATTCAGGTTATCAGGCTATCATGGTGAAGATAGCTTCATGGCAAAGCACCAAAGTACAGCTCCCGACTCTGCTCGGTCGTTCTCAAAACTCCATGTACTCTTGAGACTTTCCACGCTACAACTCACGATGCACTCGACGATACACAAGAGTACAGCTCTCGACTCAGCACACTCTAAGACAAAACTCAACAATGCACTAACTTGCAATACACTAAAGGACTCTCTCGATGCACGCAACGACCAACTCGGTGCTAGACTTCGAGACTCTTGCTCAGTGACTATCAACTTGCTAGACAAGGCACTAACTAACTCTCCTCGTATCAGCAGGGTTTATATAGCTTTTGGCTTGTGTTCGAGAACATTCTGGGCTAAACCGGTAAGAATTCGTTCCAGAAGGTTCTCCATCCATCCATGGCATATTACCAATTTTGTCGCCAAATGGGCAATTTCTTGTCAAATGTGGCAACCCTGCCTTCCTTTGCCATTTTCTGGCAACCATAAACCTGCTTTGCGGGGAAGCTATCTGACGGCACCTGTACATTTTGTAACAATATGTTGAACAAAATCATAAATAAATAAGACTACATAGATATGAATTTATATTAAATCCTCAAAACAAAGACAGTTGAGAAAGTCATGAAAAATATGGTTTGGAGTTCTTTTGTTGTCAAACAGCACCAGAGCAATCTGCAACATATACAGTACAGTCAGCTATAAACTGTTACCAATGTATATACAAACTGTCACAGTGTCTTGCAATACAACCAAATGTCTTAAGAGACAGCTCCCCAAACTAATATAACAGGTGTGATAGAAGAGTGCCATCTGATTACAAATGTGCAATTGAAATACAGAGCATTTCTCCTCAGCACCACTCATTAAGAAGAAAGCCATCTGATGATGAGGATTTTTAATGATGTTGGGAAGAAATAGACTGGAATTAATGTCCTTAACTAAAAAAGAATAAATTTTTGTGAATATGAAAGGGTTTGAGAAAATCCAATTCATCAAATGTAGAAACTCTCTGAGTAATTTTTACAGAACCATATCAAAATTGCAATTAAATACTTGACTACGATTAACTATCAAAAATTTGTTTATTTTGTCTTTTCAAACATAAGATTCATGTTCCTTCACATGAAATTTTAACAGTTTTTCAGTCTGACTGTCAAATCACAATGACAAGATGTGTTACAAATTTACAAATTCCCAAAGAAATGAAATGAAATCTTCAAGAATTAAAATAATAATAATAAAATCTGAAAGGTTTTTCAGGTTTTAAATTACATCCAAAGGAGCATTTTTTTAACATTTTGTGTGCTATCCTTATTTATTAAATATCATATTCTTCACACTTAAACCATAAAATTCAGTTTAAGAGCAACATCGCATAATAATTTTAAAATGAGCATACCTTTAGAATCTTCTATACACAGTCTCGTTCGCACACTGAAGATAAAAATGCTTTTTTCTGTATAACACTGCCATTGCTCGCTTTGAAATCCTCAAGTTTTTTAACAAAAAATTCGTAAAAGTTTTACAAAATATGAAATCAATAATAAAACAAATTCCAAATTTTAAATTTGGGCTTCCAGATGCCCATATTTGCAGAAGGATTACGTTATTCAAAATTTGTTGGCTCTAGGTACCGTTGTTTTATCACAATGCGAGAAACGTACATACATTTATGCAGATTCTTCATTATTTAATTTCTTTAAGTATAATGTAGGAAACTCTAGCATTTTATGGCAACAGTTTGAAAAGTGAACCGACATTTATAGGAGTCCGATGCAAAATGCCAAAACGAAATTAATAGTCCTTCTGGCCAAACTGCTCCTTTGGACTAAAAAAAAGATTTTATTTATAGCTAAGAAAATGGCCTGAACTGAACACAGAATCCAAGCAGTTTTGTAACTGACAGAAGATATGGTACAAGAACAAACTGTTACAATTATTTTTAAAAGAGGAATATTGTTTTTGTTGGTAAACAGCAAAGGAGTCTCTCCTGAAAAGCAAGATGTATCCTTACAACAAACCCTGTATACAGCTTTAAATATTTACTTTACTCTTAACTCATGTAAAAGTGCTTATACATAATAAGTATGCATAATAAGGTGTACATTCTTAAGAGGAAACCTATAATAAACCAATATTGATATCCTTGTTAAGAATAACTTGCTAGTAGTGTTCAGTGTTGCAGCCATATATAACACTAGACTTGTTTTGTTGGTTATCTTGCAAGCAACATAGGATCATAATTAAGCTACAAACCAAGGAACAACTGAATAAGAAAAGCAATGTTTAGTAATGTAGATTTTGAAACAACACTGTTGAAAATCTATGACAATCAACATTGCTTTTTGTACATTCAGAAGCTGGATACTATTTATAACAACCATACAGTTACTTAACTGATGCTGCAAGCGTTAATGTTAATTACATTTTGTCCAAAAACTAGCTACAGTGACTGAAACATAAAAGACTGGCAAATTTATCTTTCAGATGTATATACTGATTCAATGGAAGGTTGGGTTTGGTTTACGCAGTTATGGCAAAGCTTTGAGAGCTATCTGCCTAAGGGATGCCTTCATGGAGGACTTTCTAAGGGAAACTGGCTCATATACACATTACGAATGGGGGAAAACCACGAAAACGCCCAAGCAGCCAGCCCACTCACGGGACTGGAACCTCGGACCGACTGCTGCTAGTGGGTGGAGACAATGGAAGGAGAAGAGTGAAACAAATAACAGAAAAATATATTGCTCAAGGCAGTGACAGTTTCTTACCTAAGGGAAAAGATTAGCCTGCTAACTTTTTTTTATTATTATTAAAAGTTAAAAAGTTAATCCCTCCAATACACATGCACACAAAAAAATTATATCGCTTGAAACTAGCTCAATGGAATCAATAGAAAAAATTAATTTTTCATATCATTAATCTTTTCTTATAGAGAGAACAAATAAAAATTTTAAAAATATGAAAAATTTCTTGATTTTACCTTGATTTTAAGCATGTGCATTTATGAATTCTCTTATTTTCACCAGAAAAGTTTAATAAGCAGTAAGTTGAATACACAAATTATTCTTAGGGTTCCATTTCTGATTAGAAAAACTGTAGCTAATATTCAGAGCTATTTAATTATGTTCAGCTTATTGTATGTGTTACGTCTGTTCTTACCAGTATTATTGGGGACACCTATGAATATGAATGGCAAACAACCCAGACCTCTGGCTAGGTTCTAGACAAAAATAGAACAATCAGGAACAGCAACAAGGATACATTCTCTAACTTAACAGTAAAAAAAAAAATCACATAGTAAATCATTGTAGGGGGATATAGCCTATATTATTCATTTCTTTTTAGTGAATAAATACATAAATTTTCACAATTTTTTATTGTTTACTGATTTTAACGTTAGATCAAGATTTTAAAAAAAGGGAACCTCTCTCATGTAAAGTAATTCATCTGAAGGAAACTTTGGTCCCCAAACTCAATACATGTTATATCTTAAAACCACTAGTAAATTAGCAATAATGAAAGGAATGTGTGATTCAACAAACCCCATTTTGCTTGGACACATTTTTCTTCCCAGCATTAATAAAAGTTGCAAAGCCATTCTGCAACTCTGCAAGGTGGTTACTTGAATGCTGTCCTCATAAAAAATATATTTTTCTTGAAGAAACAGGATAGCTATATATTCATCTCTAAACGAATCCTAAATTGTGAAATCCATTGCAGAGGGAAAGAAAATAATCCAGTGAAAAACATTTAGTGGTTGCTGAAAGATTGCTGCAAAGATGAAAGGAGGGAAACCAGAAAAGAAGTCAAACAAAACTAACTACAGCTGGCACTAAGAAAATATACCAAACCAAAAGACCATCAAGTTTTATGATAAAAGCATCAATTCTGGATTATGTTATTGGTGATAATGTTCATTATGGTTTTTTCCCTATTTACTCTACTTTTCATGGTAAATATTGTCACTCTGTTGCTATATACAGAAAATTTATTCTTAATGTTCTTTAGGTATAGGCTTTATTTTTAATGCTCTTCATATCTTCTCTTGCTGAGGAAATCAGTTATTAGAAGATAACTGCTACTAATGGAAACTTTTCCTTTACAATCAAAGCTCTTAAAAACTTTTGTTCTACCATTTTAATGAACATTCTCATGGTAAAAATAATATAAAAGTTTTGATGCCCTTATATTATTCTGTTCTATTAACAAAAATTATCATTTAGCCTTTAAAAAAAACCAGATTCAAATTTTTGGGAAATTTAAATAACCATTATCAGTATAATTTAACACACACTGCTCAAACTAACAAAGCTTTAAAGTTCTGCAACAAAGAAATTGTATCTTAAACAAGAACAAGGAAAATAAATCTTCCTTTGCTAATAAATGTTAGTCCTTTAATCTCTCTCTCTCTCTCTCTCTCTCTTTTTTTTTTTTTTTTTTTTTTTTTTTTTTTAAGAGTTTATTTACCTTATCCACATATTTAAATTATATATTTTTAGCCCAAAGTGCAGAATACTTTTTTTCCTTCTTGAAGAGGTATTCCATATTTGTGTCTCTTAAAATGCATAGTTTTCTGAAAAAATATAGGCTGATTTTTACCTGCGTTAAAAAATATTGTCTGTATACTCTACTTCTTTTTTCCAACTAAATGCTTTTTATATATATTTAGATGTAAAAACATTAAATACATAAAACTGGGTTCTATTATAATGACTATATGGTAAAAGGTTAATATTTTTAAATCTTAGCTTAAAATTATTTCTCACAAAATAATTTAAAGGTCTTTCTATTATAAAGACATACACAGGAATCTTGGATCATGAATATTTTTCAAATAAAAAATACCTTGTATGACTAATAAAATCTCAAGATATGAACAAGTAAGATATTCCAAAATGCACTCAGCAGTGTTAAAAGAAAAGAAAGGAGGCAAACCTAAAAGACAGCAGTTTACCTGATATTTTTATGGAAAAGGTTTTTCCCTTTTAAACAACATTTTGCATCTTTCACTTTTTCACTATATATACTATTGCCATCAACTTTCTTTCACACAGATACAGTGAAATTTGACGATATCTTATTTTTTACATGTTTAACATAGCATTAAATACAGAGCATATGTTAATATTGTGCAGTCAAAAGTCGTTAATCCGGACTCATCGGGACTTCGGCGATTCCGGATTATCGATTTTTCCGGATTATAGATCATCAAGACACAATAACACGCCCAATAAATACTAATTCAGAAGTCAAACAACAAAAATCAGCGTTATACCTACAAAATTTTCACAGGACTAGTTTCGATGGTTTTACTGAAGCCATCCATCCTTCAGCTGCAAAACCGCAAATGAACAAGATAGGAAATAATGATTAGATAAGATAAGAAAGCCTGGACAAGAATAAGCAAGTGGCGTGCCATCTGTTGGCATGAAACCAGAACTAAAACATAATTTCTCTAAAGCCGAAGGCAAATTTGGATTGGAATTAGGATCGTTAACTAGAACAGAAAGATTTTTATGAATGTGAAATGCCTCTAGAAAATCCAGTTCTCCAATGGAAGATGTTTTTTGAATAATTTTGGCAGCAGAAAAAATTGAAAGTGTGATTTTCGGACCAACAATGTTGAGCAACAGAAGACCTCTGTGTTTCCTTTTTTCTAACATATGCCTCATGTTCTTTGACGCGAAATTTTAAGGCTCTCTTAGTTTGGCCAATGTAAATTAAACCACACTGGCAAGGAATCCTATAAATACCCCAGGAATTCATATCCGGAATGGGGTCCTTGAGTATAGAAGTTGGAATTTTATTGATGGGAGAAAATTTTGTAGGTATAACGCTGATTTTTGTTGTTTGACTTCTGAATTAGTATAGATCATCAGTTTAAATCTGGTAAGATGGCATGCAGAAATTATAAAATTAAAAATATGAAACTGTAATTTATGAAATAAAGAACAATTATGATCTAAAAAGTATCAAAATTTACAAAAAAAAAAAAAAAAAAAAAAAAAAAACCCTTAATATTTATTTGTTTACTTTATTAAATATTTCTTTCAATGTAAGTTGTTTAAGTTGCTTCGTTTTATGTGATAATACTTTCTTTTTAATTCTATAAAAGACATAATTTCTTCTTCAGTTACAAAGTTCCGCTGCTGAAGTCCTATAATTGCTGTGTCTAGAATACCAACTAATTTGTCAATCGAAATTTTTTCGTTTTCAATAACCTCTGTGTCCCTTTCTTCACTATCGGAAGCGAAATATAATGACGAGGAATTTGATTTAAATCATATCAAAGATGGAGTACATCGAGATGAAATACTACATTTAGTAAGGAATTATGTCAAATAAAATAAAAACATCTGCTCTGAAGATAAGGATAGTGCTGACAGATCAACTTCCAATTCATTGCGCGCTGCGTCATTTCCCTCCCCTCGCAGAGCAGCGTGAAATTGATAAACATATTTCAGAATGATTAGATAATCAAAGGATATGCCTTTATCCATTTTTTGCAGCAATTCCACTTTCTGTTTAATGGACTTCGAAACATACTTTCGCTTTGTAGATCCTTTACATATTAGTAAATATATATTGGAAATTCTATTTGACATAATCGTTCAAGCTCACTTTTATAAATAACAGTCTGCAAAAAATAATAAGCCGGATCCAATTCGAAGATTAAGGAACAACGCAATCTGCAACATTAACTGAATTAGATAATTTTAGCTTAGCTTATACCATCCGTTATACATTAAGCACGCATGCGTATACGTATTATGCGCATGCGCACACGCATATTCGCAGCCATAAAGGTCTTACGTGCATGCGTCAACGTGACGCATGCGCAGAAAGTTTGTAGCTTTGAGGTCCGGATTATAGATCATTCCGGATTATGGGTGTCCGAATTAACAACTTTTGACTGTATTATGAATTACATTTAGTGAATTTTACTGGTTTTGCATAACAAGCAGATGAAGACCTACAGTTTAAAGAGAAATTGAAAACTTACACATTAAATCTTCCAAAATAATCTTCTTTATAAGCATGAGGTCTTTCACCTGTTTTGCCAGTTTCTAGCAAATAGTAAGCTTCATTTCTTTCTCTGACAACAGCTTCTAAATTTTCCATACTAATTTCAACCTACATTATTTTATACAAAAATTCAATATTTAATATTAACATTTAAACTATTTATATTGTGAGACAAAATTTATCATTAATAGACTTACTTTATCAATTCTTTCAGGATTAGGAAATAATTCAACTTGATCTTTAGCAGCCTGTTCCATAGTTAAGAGCATGTTTTTTTCTTTATAAAGAACAAACCTAACATCAAAGTTTAAATTAATTAAAATGAATTTTTGTATAAAAATCTAACAAAATTCATCATCTCTCAAAGAAATTTACAATATGAAAACTTAAAAATACATCATAAATTAAAAAAATGGAGGAAAAAAACGCATACAAATATTTTGCTTCCTTTCTTAAATACACATATTTACTCAAACTATATTCTTACATTTGAATAAATTAAAAATGTAATTCAAAACGAAATTCACTTTAAAATTTGTCTCTGTTTTGGTAGTTTATTTCTGAATGTAAATTAGTATAAATGGAAAAACAAAAAATACATTACCATTTGAATAAAATTAAAAATGAAGATGTACAGAGGCCTTCTAATGTTACTGCTAAATTTCATCATAATCTACATTTTTTTTTTTTTTCCCAAAGGAAGCATGCAAACAAATCCTCTAATTATAAGATGTTAGAAACTTATTTTATTTATAACATTCATCCTGTAAAATATTGTTAAGAAGTCCAGATGAAAGTACTTTTATTAATGCAATACTAATAAAGTAGTTTAAGTATTGTCATTTGGCAACAGTGCCAGTTTATTGTGAATATGATTTACTGCAAATGGAAAACCATATTGTGATAAGGTCACATAAAAGAAGAAGAGACTGAAGATTTATATAGACAAGGATGTCTCGTGAGCATAAGCTGAAAATTATTATTATTTTTTAACTTACAAATACGTTTTCAATAGTTATTAAAATAATCTTTATTAAAATAATTACCGTAATTTCCGGAAGAAAGGCCGCATCAGCGTAAACGCCGCACTCGAGAAAAATGGGGGGAAAAAAATTAAAATTACACAGAAATGCCACATCAGCGTAAACGCCGCAATAGATTAAATTGCGCGTGACATCGTCGTGGGCCGTATAGATGCAAAAACTCAACCTAAGTCCTGATATATGACATACCAGTTAAGAAAAATGCATGAAATGAAACCATAACTCAAAAATAAATTAAAAGGTAAGAAATGTATAGCTTCTGTGCCGTTTAGGTGGCATTTTCAAAAATTTCCGCTCCCTTCTTACTTAAAAACTATCCAACAAGTACTTGTACCCAAACTGATGGGGATCTGTATTGGGCAGAATGCCAAGAAAAATCCAATACATGCTGAAGGGGAAATACGTCAGAGTTCAGAGTTCGTTATTGCAAGGCAGGTCGAGTCGTGTCCGCCTTTGAAAAAATTTGCAGAAAAGGCAGGGGTGGGGAGAGGATGGGTCCTGGAAGATTCATTGAATGGCAGAGGAGAGAGACTATTCAAACTGATGAGAATGTTGATTTTAAAGGGGGAAGAATGTTATTCTTCTGAGATCTCATTTAGGGTGAATAAGGCATGTAGGTCCATTCAAGGGAAAGAATGTAAACAAAATAAAGTTCGCAAAAAGCAATTAAAATGAATTTTTGTAAATTAATTAAAATAATGGTCCTTTGTGTGGGAACAGCACCAGTCTATGCACAATGACAATACTATCCAAACTATGTACAATGACCATCATAGGAAATATTTTATTTTTAGTGCACCTAAACGCCGCATGGGTAGAAACGCCGCACCCACTGAAAATTTAAGTTTTAAACACGTAAACGCCGTGGCGTTTCTTCCGGAAATTACGGTAAATTGTTGGTAATGTTAAAAACGCAAGCTCGAGAGCCACGAATTGCTCTCGCACGTAAAATGTATAGAATTTGATTTTTGAAATAGATAGGTTTTTCTCTGCAGAATTGTATGTAGCCATTTTTTTAGCATTCAATAAATTTTATTATGCTGTGTTTTGTTTTCAACCTGATGTCACAACCCAGGGTTAGCGTAGCGGTTTCGGCCACTACACCACAGCAGTAAATATTAAAAGTTGGTGGCAGCTTGTCTCCTAAGAGTAAATTTAGGAAAGGACCTTTTGCCTGTGGATGTCAGCTAAATCGTGTATTTTTTTCTGAATCTCTTTGGTGACTTTCCGGATTGTCGCCTGGAACTTTCAGAAAAGGCAGTATTGAAAGTTTTATGTGAACAGTAAAGACTTTTCTTCTCTTCAAAGAACGATCTAATTTTGCGTGCAAGGGACAGTTCACGTGGTGAAGCCTCTTCAGAAAGTGACAGTGTGTCAGAAGGGAACGCCGGAGGAAGCGTGATCTAGTGCTGCAAAATAGTGAAATTTTCCCGGAAGAATTGGTGTATCCAAGTTAGTGCCAGGAGAGTCAATCGAAGGCAGTCTTCAAAATTGGTGAGTACCATTTTTTGTGATTTTGGAGAACGTTATGCCAGTTATTCGAGACTAGGCTTATTTTGGATATAGAGCAAGAAAAAGGTTGCCCTCTTAATTAGCATTTTTTTATATATACGCTTTTGTTTGTAGGCATAGGTATTATCATTAAGTGTTGTAAGGCAATTTGTTTGTTCAGAATTGTTAGGGAATTATTCAGTTTTGGAGAGAATAGACCTGTTGTTTTTGTTTTATTGTTTTTCGGGGTAGGTTATTTTTCTTTAATTTTCCATAATGGGTGAGTTTATGAGAAAATTTACTAAAACTCTGCTATTGGAATTAGCGGAGGAGTTTGAAACAAATGTGTCTCAGGCAAATATAGTAAGAGAAATTAGGCAGACTATTCTAAATGCCGAGGACTATGAAGAAGAAGCTGCGAAAGAATACGCGGCAAGAATTTGGGCTGCGGCTGAGCAGAGAAAAGCAGAAGATATAGCCGAACAAGAGAGAGCGGAACGGGAGCGGGAGCGATTTTTTGAATTGGAAAGGTTTAAAACTTGATGAATGTGGTTCAAGACTAATAGCCTAGCTTCCACGGTTTCGAAAGTTGAACAATCTAGAGAAAAAAAGGTTAATTTGAAAGATCTAGTATCGCGTTTTGAACCGAGTAATATAGATATTTCATTATTTTTTATGCTATTTGAGAAACAAGCTCAAAAAGAGAATGTTAATGAGATTGATTGGATCTCGCAATTAATTCCTTTATTACCTCACAATGTAGCCCAGTTAATAGTGAAAGAACCAGCGGATAAAGGGGATGATTATCAGTATGTTAAGAAATTACTCATGCAGAGATTCAAGCTTAGTTCTTGGGCACTAAAAACAAAATTTGAAGAACATTCTAGAAAAAACGGAATGTTATGGGTGGATTTAGTGTATGAATTGAGAGTGTATTTAGAGAATTGGTTGGATTCAGTAGAAATTCAAGATTTTGAAAGTCTTAAGGAACTTATGCTCACTGAGCAAATTAAGCGGCGAGTCCCTCTAGAAATACAAGAGCACTACTTAGACAATTGGGAAGAATTTAAAACAGCTTCCATTTTAGCAGAGAAATGCGACAAGTATGAGGCTTTGCAAAGAGATACGAGGAAGTTAGAACAGAAAACGGGGTTAAAGAAACCATTTGAGAAAGATAGAGAGCAGTATGTAAATTCTAACTGTAGTTGTAATCAGAAAAGTAGTGGTCATCAAAGAATTAAATCAGAGGAGCATAGAAAAGTGGAGGCTCCTAAAAAAAGGCAAGTTTTCAATGAAGCAGATTTCGAGAAACAGCGGAAAATAAGGTGTTACCAATGTGGAAAGGATGGACATATCCGACCTAACTGTCCATCGCTGGAAAAGAATAAGGCTAATCCGGTGAATAATCTAGGAACGGAGAGTTAAGGAAAATGTTTTGAGCCGTATTTCAAGAAAGCAGTAATTAATGGGATAGAGAGAGAATATCTGAGAGATACTGGAGCTGGTATAGATCTGTGTAATAGTACTTGGATTAATACTACAGTCAAAAGTCGTTAATCTGGACTCGTCGGGACTTCGGCGATTCCGGATTATCAATTTTTCCGGATTATAGATCATCAGTTTAAATCTGGTAAGATGGCATGCAAAAATTACAAAATTAAAAATACAAAACCGTAATTTATGAAATAAAGAACAATTATGATCTAAAGGGTATCAAAATTTACAAAAAGAAAAAGCTTAATATTTATTTGTTTACTTTATTAAACATTTCCTTCAATGTAAGTTGCTTCGTTTCATGTGATAATACTTTCTCTTTAATTCTATTAAACAGACATAATTTCTGGTTTAGTTACAAAGTTCCGCTGTTCAAGTCCTATAATTGCTGTGTTGAGGACTAATTTGTCAATCGAAATGTTTTCGTTTTCAATAACCTCTGGGTCACTTTCTTCACTATCGGAAGCGAATTATAATGATGAGGAACTTGATTTAAATCATATCAAAGACTCGAGATGAAATACTAAACTTAGTACCGAATTATAATCCAAATAAAATAAAAACATCTGCTCTGAAGATAAGGATAGTGTTGATAGATCAACTTCCAATCCCCCTGTGAAATTGATAAACAGATTTCGGATTTCAAAACATACTTTCGCTTTGTAGATACAAATTGCATATTAGTAAATATATATTGGAAATTCTATTTGACATAATCTTTCTAATCTATCTCAATCTAATAATGATGTTTCTGCCCCCCCCCTCTGCCGCAGAGCAGCGTGAAATTGATAAACAGATTTCGGATTTCAAAACATACTTTCGCTTTGTAGTAAATATATATCGGAAATTCTATTTGACATAATCGAAAGTTCAAGCTTACTTTTATAAAATTGCTCTAGCAGTCTGCAAAAAATAATAAGCCGGATCCAATTCGAAGATTAAGGAACAACGCAATCTGCAACATTAACTGAATTAGATAACTTTAGCTTAGCGTATAACTCCGTTACACATTAAACGCGCATGCGCACAAACATATTCGCAGCCATAAGGGTCTTACGCACTCTCGTAAACGCCTGTGCGCATGCGTGAACGCAACGCAGGCGCAGAAAGTTTGTAGCTTTGAGGTCCGGATTATAGATCATTCCAGATTATGGGTGTCCGAATTAACGACTTTTGACTGTAATGACTTATTAGGGGAAACTGTATGGGTGAAACAGGCTTTGGACACAGAATGTAAATGTTTACCTTTGGCGAAAGTCACCATTG